TGTATAACTAATACATGTCAACAAAAATCTATATACAGATATTCATGGAAGCTTTATTTATAATAGCCAAAAAACTGAAAACAATCCAAATGTCTTCTAAGAACTAAGTGAACTGTCAAAAATGGTTCAACAAATTATGGTTTTCTAGTCTGAAAATGCAGAATCTGAAATGCTCCAAAGTCCAGATGCTTTTGAGTACTGATAAAAGTGCAGATATGATTTAATATGATAAGCTACAATCAAAACATAGGCACATTAAAGATAGTGTATTCATACGTAAAAGAATAAATTGAATGCACCGTATCAACAGAGGCAAGGACAGAAATCATATAATCCTCTCAACAGATGCAGAAAAAGCTTTTGACAAAGTCCAGCACCCATTCATGATAAAAAACCCTACAGAAAATTGCCATACATGGTCTTTATCTCAATCTGATAAAAGCCATCTATGACAATCCAACAGCCAACATCATACTAAATGGACAAACATTGAAAGCTTTCCCTCTAAAATTAGGAACAAGACAAGGATGTCCACTCTCTCCACTTATTCAACATAGTCCTAGAAACTTTAACCAGAGCAATCAGACAAGAGAAAGAAATAAAAGGAATAACAATAGGAGAGGAAGAAGTTAAATTATCATTATTTGCATATGATATGATACTCTACATAGAAGACCACAAATAGTCCACTAAAAAAATGCTAGATTTAATAAGCAAATTCAGTAGCGTAGCTGGGTATGTTTTTTTTTTTGGTACCAGGAATCAAACTCGGGACTTCGTGCTTGCCAGGCAGAAGCAATTCCACTTGCCAGGCACGCGTAATTCCCGGCCCCGCGTAGCTGGATATGAAGACAACACTCAAAAATCAATAGCCTTCCTGTACATGAATAACAAACTTAGAGAGAAATTAGGGAAACAATACCTTTCATAACAGCACCCAAAACCAACCAACCAACCAACCAACCAACCAAACAAACAAACAAACCCCTAGGACTCAATCTAATGAAGGATGCAAAAGACCTCTACACTGCAAACTATAGTACTCTGAAAAAGGAGATTAAAGCAGATATCAGAAAATGGAAAGCTATCCTTTGCTCCTGGGTAAGAAGGGCAAATATAGTGAAAATGGCCATACTTCCAAAAATGTTATACAGACTTAACACAATTCCGATTAAAATTCTAATAGCATATCTCACAGAATTAGAGAAAACAATCCTAAAATTTATTTGGAACCAGAAGAGACCTAGAACAGCAAAGGTAATCCTGAGCAACAAAGGCAAGGCAGAGGGCATCATAATCCCTGACTTAAAATTATACTATAAAGCTACACTGAGGGGCTGGGGATTTAGCTCAGCGGCAAAGCGCCTGCCTGGCAAGCGCAAGGTCGTGAGTTTGATTCCTGGTACCAGGCGGGGGGGGGGGGGGAGGGAGCTACAGTGATAAAAACAGCAATGTACCTGCAAAAACCAAACCAAAACAAAACAAAAAAACCAGATCCAAAGATCAATGGAACAGATTAGAAGATGCAGAAACAACTCCAGACATATTCAGTCACCTTATGTTTACCAAAGGTGGCGAACATTCTTTGGAAGAAAGCCTCTTTAATAACTGGTGCTGGAAAAACTGGCTTTGTATATGCCAAAGATTACTTGGGCCCATATCTTTCACAATGTACTAAACTAAATTAAAAATGGATCAAAGATCTAAATATTAAAACAGAAACATTAAATCTTGGAGGGCCGGGATATAGCTCAGTGGTACAGCACCTGCCTGGTAAGCATAAGGTCCTGAGTTTGATTCCTGGTACCCACCCCTCAAATCTGCTGGAACACAGAATAGGCAAAACTCTTGAAGACACTGGTGTAGGCAAAGACTTCATGAATAAAATCCTGATCACACAGGAACTATTACAAAGAATCAACAACTGGGTATCTTCCCAGAAGAATTAGAAACATTATAGCACAGCAATATATACACACCCATGTTTATAGCAACACAGTTTGTAATAGCTTGGAAACAACCCAAATCGCCATCAACTGTGGAATGGATAAAAAAAGATGTGGTATTTTTATACAATGGAGGGAGTACTACTCAGCCATAAAGAAGGATAAACTAGAGACTTTTATAGGTAAATGGATGCAACTTGAGACCATACTCATAAGTGAAATAAAGCAGATGCACATGTGTAAACAATGTATTGTCTCCCTAGTGTGAGAAACTGAAAAAGTAAGTAAGATCCAAAATATGCAACAGATACTGTAAAATGGGAGGAAATTTCAAAAGGAAAGAGAAACTGGGGTGGGGGAATGGAGAAAAGAAGGAAGGAAAATGCCTAAAAAAATACATGTATAAAAGAGAGTTAAGATAATTATACTACTAATTTCTCTTTGTTCATTGAAGAGAAAGGTTTGTGTTAATATTGTTTGGACAATTAAATGCCGATATCTTGTATTCTGCATAACTAAAGATAACAATATGCAATGTATTAACCATTGTTACTCTCCTATAATCTTGTTTTGAAATTTTGTTTTATCTCTTTTTCTCTTAAAAAAAAAGTATATTAAATTACTCTCAGGCTATGTGAATAAGATATATATAAAACATAAATTATTTTCTGCTTTTGATTTGTGTCCCACCCTGGGATATCTCATTATGCATATGCAAATATTCCAAAATCTGAAAAAAAAAAAAAAAAAAAATCTAAAACCCAAAACACTTCTGTTCCCAAGCATACAGTCACGTGGATACTCAATCTGTACTTCTATATCATCTAATAATACTTAGCAGTTAGGGGCTGGGGATTTAGCTCAGCGGCAAAAGCTCCTGCCTGGCAAGTGCAAGGTCGTGAGTTCGGTTCCCAGTACCGGAGAAAAACCAAAAAAAAAAAAAGTACTTAGCAGTTAAAGGGAACAAATGACATAAACAGTAACTTCAGTGACTTTCCAAGAAAAATACTGAGTGAAAAAAGACAATCTCAAAAGGGTTTTCTACTTTGTATTCCTATTTATATAATGTTCTTGGAAGGGTAACACAGAACTGGAAAATAGATTAGTGGTTGCCAGGACTTAAAAACGGGGGAAAGAGGCAGAGAAGGTAAGACAGCAAGTCAATACGATTATAAAACGGCAACCACAGTACTTGACTGTGCTCGTGAGTACACAGACCTACACATGAGACAGAAATACACAGAACGAAATACACACACATACCCATGCACACACACACAAGTACAAGTAAAATGAAATGTGAAGATGCTGTGGATTGTGTCAATACTCTGGATGTGATATTAGATTATATTTTGAGATGTTATCAATGGGAAAATAGGGAATGTGGGTAAATGGAATCTTTCTGTACTGTTTCTTATAACTCTCCATATAGAAAGTTGAATTAAAAAACTATGGGTTTTACTTGATATCTATTGCTTTATCAGACCATCAACTATAAAGAAAACTAATTCAACACATATTTACAAGACTATAATTTTTTTTTTTTTTTTTTGCCTTTTTGAGACAGGGTCTCGCTATGCAGTTCAGGCTGGCCTTGAGCTCCCTTTGCAGCCCAGGCTGGTCTCGAACACACAATGATTCCCCTGCCTCAGCCTCCCGAGTGCTGTAGTTACAGGTATGCGTCACCACGCCCGGCCTATAGGCTATAATGTTAAAGATACAGCATTGAACAGAGAGATAAAACTGCCTGCCCCAAGCAGCTTATATTTTGGTAAGCATGAAATCGAGTGAAAAAGAAGAAAAATAAACATGTTAGCTGATGAGTTTTAAGGAGAAAATAAAGCAAGTAAGAGGATGAAGGGCGGAGCATTGTTTCATATTTATTTGTCTTTTTGAGACAGGGTTTCGCCCTGCAATCTTGTTGTTTCTCTTCTCCATCTGCTCTGTCTCCCAGTCACTGTGTTCGGGCACTCAGCTCAAGTGACTCTTAGAGAGTTATCATTGCCCTCTTTGCATTTTTTTTTTGGTACTGGGAATCGAACTCAAGACCTTGTGCTTGCCAGGCAGGTGCTGTGCTGCTGCTGAGCTATATTCCCCAGCCCCTTGCTATGCAGTTCAGTTCAGGCTGACCTTGAATTCACTTTGTAGCCAAGCTGGCCTCAAACTCACAGTGATCCTCCTGCCTCCGCCTCCTGAGTGCTGTGATTACAGGCGTGCACCAACATGCCTGGCCTGGGAGGGTTGTTTTAAGCAGGGTAGTTGGAAAGGACCTCAACTAAATGGAGAACATTGGAGGCCAGAAGAGGGAAAGGAAGCAAGACACACCTGGGAGGGAAGAACTGCAGGCTAGGGAACAACAAGAGCCAGGGCCCGTCCTACTGCAGCGGTGTGTCTGGTGCATCTGAGGGAAGTCAGGAGACAAAAGGCATCTGAGGCCAAGTGAGCAAGGCAAAGTAGCAGAAAATGGAGCCACAGGTATAGGGTTCAGATCAGGTAGGACCTGGCAGGCTACTGCCATGACTTTGGCTTTTATTTGAGCAAGACAGGACTCCACTGGAGGTTTTCCTTTCGGTGGTACTGTGGATTGAACCCAGGAATGCCCTATCCATGGGCTACATCCCCACCTCTTTATTTTGGACAGAGTCTCACCAAGTTGCCCTGGCTAGTTATTAACTCTTGATCTTCCTGCTTCAGCCTCCCAGCCTCTGCAGTAGCTGGGATTACAGGTGTACACAGTCATGCCCAGCTGACTAGAAGGTTTTAAGCAGAGGAAAGAAATTTATGTTTTATGAGGATTACCTTTGCTGCTGGGCTCAGAATAAGGATGGTAGCAGCAAGGGTAAAAGCTGGGATAACAGATAGGAGACTACTGCAAAATCCAGATAAAAAAGTTATGCATGTCAGTTAAATGGCCCGACTGGATGTCACTATGTTGCTATAGTAGGACCTTGACAGATAAGTGAAAAGTCAAACTTGTATTGCAACTACAACCCGTATACAATGTTACTCTTTATTTGTCACTGTGGACAAAGCCAGGGCTTTAACTATACAAACCTTATCTTGTGACCCAGAGGACGCCTCTTCGAGAGTTTCAGTGCTTCCCAGATTGAAAAGCTGAGTGCTTGGCTGTAACCCAGGGCTGGAGATATTTGAGTCGCCCATCTGAGTCTTAAAAAATAAATAAAAAGAGACAGCGTATTATGTAGAAAAAAAATTGCTATTACTTGGCTCCTAAAACAGCATTTGAGGTTATTAGAAATGCTATGATAAAAAACAAGCAAAACTCCTACAAAGTGTTTGTTCTGAACACCCATGTAAGTAACTTACTAATAAAATTCCTATGAAGCGGAGTACCTAATTTTAGACAACAGAGTTAGCCACAAATATTTTTATAGCTTTTTAAAGGAAAAGTCAATGGCATTACTCCACCATGTATTCTCCTGTATGTTTTAAGTCAGCATATGATAAAACTCAGCGTTTAAGGGCTGTATCATTCTTCTGTGTGCCACCTCCACAGTCAGAGCATAGAACAGCTCCACCATCTCAAAAGCTCCCTGCGAGGTCCCACGGTAGTCATGTTCTCTGACTACTTCTGGCCACCACCATTCTGTTCTGTCACTACACTTTGCCTTCCCAGAAAGTATCATAAATGGAATATAAGCAAAATGTCAGCTTCTTTTACCTAGCTTAATGCCTCTCAGACTCATCCAAGCTGCTGAATGGTATAAATAGTTCATTCTTTTTTGTGGGATTTCTGCATAATATATAAATATATTTTTCTTTTAAAAGTTTTATATTTTACATTTAGGTCTGTGATACAGTTTGAGTTGATTTTCATATAAGATGTTACATTTAGGTTGAAGTTCATTTTTGTGTGTGCACATATGGTCATTCAACTGTTTGAACATCAATCATTAAGTTCTAACTTGCACATGACACTAGAAGTGAAAATATTTTTGTTCTTGAAATGATTACTAGACAGACATAGACGCCAGGAGTGGTGCCACACACCTATAACCCCAGCATTTAGGAGGGTGAAGCAGGAGGATCGCCACAAGTTCAAGGCCAGCCTGAACTACGTAATGAGACCATCTCAAAAAAGCCAAGAGGGGGAAAAAATAGATAGACATGGTGTTAATAAACTTTTCGAAACAAGTTATATTTGAGCTTTCTGACTCAGTGTCTGGTGAGTACTGTCCACGTCAAAACAGATGACTGTGGGAAAGAAAGAAGAAAAAAAAGCAGCTCTACTCTTCAGAGACAGATTGATTTTCTTGATATCATGCTAAAGATACACACAGAAAGACATATATTTAGCATAGGAACAGGCACTCCACTATTAAATGAATGGATAACACACATTTCTTCGAGCCGAACGACTTAATTCTGTTCTTACTTCGAGACACCACTTACTCCGTGTCACCCACCTGAGGAAGGGTGCAACAGTCTGGGAAAGCCACGAATTACCTTACTCCTCTAACACACCTATCTTTGAGCAGCATCACAACAACCAGCATCAAACGTATCACAGAGAATGTGCAGTATTGAATGTTTAGAAATTTCCCCATAAAGCCAACAGTAAACCTAACCACCGAATTTGACTTCGAATTTCTCATCCAATTCGGTTTATGACCAGAGTCGTGGAAAGAATTAAGTTCATCAACCGAGTATTACTGTGTAGTATTAGAGAAAATATAACGTCAAAGTATCGTTCATAACAAGTTCATATTTTTCAAAAGTTTAAAAATTTTCTTTTGTGGTGCTTGGAATTGAACCCAGGGCCTTACGGATGATAGGTAAGAAGAGCTCTAGCGCAGGTCTCCAGCCCCAGCCCGTGGAACAAGCTCTTCAAACAAAAGGTATAATGCTCAGAAGTATTAAAAGAGTTGGGAGTTCCACTATAAAAATCCAGACTTGTCATTTGCAGAGACAGCCTGGATGATCTGGCAACACTAGTTCATCTGGCAACCACTGTTCGGGGCTGAGCTCCAGCTGACCCTTCTACAGGGGGAGCAGCTTGCAGTCCGCCTCAGTTCCACTGTGGTCTGCTTTACTCACTACCTCAGCCGACCTGGCAAGTGCTCTTGGGAGCACTTGAGTTTGCAGTATCTAAGCTGTGAAATGGGCTTATATTGTTATGATGTACTTTAATAAAGTTCGTAAGAATTTTACGTATTTTTGATTCTATGCAGGGCCTCTGTTGAGGTTTTATTTTATGTGTCTTGATGATGACATTTGGTGTTTGTAACACTTAGGAGAAACACACAACCTCAGACAAACTTGTTGGAGGGTAACTTTACAATACTTGGTAGAAACTTTTTTAAAAATGTCAAAATTCTTTGATCTAATGATTTCATTTTAAGCAATTTATCTTAGGAAAAAGTTAATGGTGCATGTAAAGATCTAGCTGCATGGCTGCATTGCCAGAGAAACCTAAGGTATTGTTTGCATAAAGCACAGAATGAAAATCATACAGCTATTAATACCACAGTTCTTTTTTAAAAAAACTTCACACTACTAAATGAAACCTCATGGAGACTCTGAGAGGCGTAGTTACTGTCAATAAAAAGGCAGAAGTGCAGACAAGCAAATAAGAAATCTATGTCTAGCAGGGAAGGGGCAGTAGGAGCCCTGTGAATGTGAGGCCAGCCTGGGCCACAGAGTGTATTCAAGGTCAGGCTTATCTCAAAAAACAAAAAACACCCCCCCGCCCCCGCAATAAAAGCTACGTCTTGTGTACATGTACTTACTTCCCACAAACATGTACTACATTAACAAAAATAAGAAAGCTGTACATCTTTACCGTTTTCAAAATAGACTATATTATAAAGGAAATGTCCATGATTAAATTCCCAAAGGTTCCATTTTAATCTAACTTAGATAACAATTTATTTCATACTGTGGAAGAATTTTCTTTACAAGAGAAATGATTATGCTATTTATTCCTTTGGAAATATAACTAGAAATCACACTAGACTTTTAGACTGTACACTTAACACCAGAGTTCCTTTAAAGCTTTGTGTACAAAAATAAGGCCACAGGGCTAAGTATAGCTCAGTAGTGGAGAATACACTTAGGATGTGCAAGGCCCTCAGTTTCACCCCAGCACCAAAACCAAAAAACAGCAAAACGAAAAGGCCAGAGATAAGGCCTGTTACTCCTTCCCTTTGTGACTTCTTGCTTGTCAGCCTCAGGAGTAAGGCAGATCGCTTCCACTATCTTCCCTAGTATATAGCATGCACAGTTTCTATATTATGGGGAGCCCTGGTGCCGTCATTGCTAGGGTCAGTGGACAGCGAAAGGCCTCAAAAAGCAAATAATGACCCAGACTTCATTAAGGGTATGAGAAGGGATGTGGGGAATCTCTTTTTTTCTGGAGTGCTGGGGACCAGACGCAGAACCTCAAGCATGCTAGACAACTGCTCCACTACTGAACTACATTCCCAGGCTTTAAGACAACATTTAAATCTAAAATATGACTCTTGAAATTTATTTTCATTCAATTTCCTAGGAATTAATGAACTGATAATGGAGAAGACTGCTTTTCCAGTATTTGCCACAGACTTTATACAGGTTTATTATAACTTATGGTGAGTATCACTACCTTCCAGAACACTTCTTTTCAAGCTTCGCTGCCTGAATTCCAGATTCCTGAGATATCACAGGGCAATAGGTACAAAACAGTCCTGCAGAGAAACTGACCTGGGAATTGGCAGTACTGCTTCATCTCCTGTGGGATCTTTTAGTTCTGAGAGTCATAAAACCCTGAAGGGATGTGAGGAGGATGAGACCTGCTAACAATATTTCTTGGATTCTTCTGGCCAATTTGCACCTTTTTTCAAAGATCATTTATTAATAACCCAGTTGCTAGTGTTTTAGCAGAGCTGTTTTCAAACAGTAGTTTCTCACACTCTGTTTCTTAAAGCTTTTTTTTTTTTTTTGGTGTCAGGAATCGAACTCAGGACCTTGTGCTTGCCAGGCAGGCGCTGTGCCACTAAGCTATATACCCAGCCCTTCTTAAAGTTTTAGTGAGGTGAAGATACACAGAAATGAAAAGAAAGCACTTTTCTCAATGTTTAGTGAATAAAGTAACAATTGTAATTCTGCTGCAATAAAATGTAGTAGTAGAACTTTCAGATCTCACCCCAGGGAAACATGAGGCTTTGAGGCACTGATGCCAAATAAAAAGGCCAAGACAGTTTCAGAGCTCTAAGGTTGGTGACACTGTCAGAGAATGTCCATTGCTTTGTATATAGTGAGCACTTCATATGCATAAGTTGAATGATTTAATTACTGTACAATTGCCATTTTATTCCATTTGTAAGGGAAAATTTTATCAGTTAAAAGGTGAAATGCAAAGCAAAAGAGATAGGAAACAATCTCAGAAAAGCCTCACCTTTGGGCAAAATTAAAATTATGCTTAGTGAAGGATGTGTACCTACTACCAATTACTGATCACAAATATACATTTTAGTATTATGAAATGCAAATTATCAGAATACTTTTCAAAACCTACATGAATCCCCAAGGCCATTGAACATCCTAACAAGAGACTGCAGAAGGAAAAAGGGGCACGAAGCTTTTCCAGAACTACCTGTTGTGGTCCAATTTGCTCCCTCTGACCCCAGTTTCTTCCAAAATAATTTTACTTTGATTATAGGGGAAAAAAAATTGAAATTTTTCTGCCCAAATGAGCATCTTTTCGGCTTGAAGCCATAGACATGCTTAGTTTTGAACCAATTATTACTGCAAGCCCATGAGGTGATAGTCTGAGTTGGACTCAAGCCTCTTGCAGGCCTCCTACCCCTCCTCTGGTACCCAGTACTCCAGACAGCCTTACCCTCTCGTACTCATCCTTGGCTCTACTTAGCATTTCCAGGATGTCGATAGGCCTGTGGTCACTGCAGCCGTTGGCCTGACTGGGACTCTGTTTATCTCGAGCAGCTTGCTGGGATCGCCGTGTCTCCTCTTCTACCACACTAGATGAGGAAAACCAGGTTTTAGAAAGGCTTCTTCAGACATCATCTAATCCAAGAATTCTGTTGGAGAGTGTCAAGTGATGATACTGCCCTTGCGACACACAATGCTGGTCCTAGTTACTGCATTCCAGAAACACAACTTACGGTTTCACCATCTCATTCGCAACAGCACCAACCAGTATGCTTCGCCTTCCTTTCTAGTGGTGGCGAAGTAGGTGCACTAAATATCTCCTACAAGTAGGAATCACAGCAAAACGTCAAGAACTAAAAGGTGGGTGGAGAGCATGTGGGTATTTTATTTCCTACATTTTTCTTCAAGGCTGAAGTAAGTAAAATAGTGTTTAATAAAGCAACTAATCTTTAAAGAAAATTTATTCAGATGTGAGTTCTAATGAACAAGTTCACCTGTCACGGGATTTTCATGGGCACAGCCACAGCTTGTTTTTATTTTGAGAGAAGATTTCATTAAGTTGCCCAGGCGGGGCTCAGCCTGCAATCCTCCTGCCTCAGCCTTTCAGAATGCTGGGTTTATAGGCACGTTCCACCAATTCTGGCTCAGCCCCACACTGTAACTAACTGAGAACTTGACAGACAATGATGAATAAGACAATCCAAGAGTGAAATAAGAGGAATAGGGCAAGAATAGGCCACTCAATGTCAGTTCACTCCCATTGTGTATATGTGTGTGTGTGTGTGTGTGTGTGTGTGTGTGTGTGGCAATGGTGTTGTTATACAAACAGCGGGTTAAACAATATTAAACAACGCTGGTTGTGTGCCTGTAATCCCAGTACTAGGGAGGCTGAGGTAGGGGGATCACTGCGAGTTGGAGGCCAGCCTGGGGCTACATAGTGAGAACTTATCTAAAAAAAGAAAAAACAAAATAAAAAGAAACCTCAAACAAACAATATTAAACAGATTTTTAAAAACAGCAGAACCAGCTGGGTGTGGTGGCACATGCGTAATCCCAGCATTTGGGAGGCTGAGGCAGGAAGATAGCGATGAGTTCCAGGCCAGCCTACGCTACATAATAAGACTCTCTCTCAAAAAACAACAAACAAACAAAAAACCAGAACCACTCTGAGCTAACATGTTAAATTGTGATTCCCCAATAAGAGTGGACCTGCATATTTTCTCAAATTTTATTTGAGCACAGAATCTTTGTTGCTTTATGGGAACGTGTAGTTCATTTGGAGCAGTGGTAGTGAACTTCCGGCACATATGTTGTTTGTTTAAGACATAAAAGATGTCAATGTGGGAGTTGTTTTTCCTACACTAAAACGTCATTATTTAACTCAGGTTTCACTGCAGCGCTGGCGCTTCATGATAAATGAGTTCTGGGCTGCAGTTTGATGCAGTCTCTACAAGGTTCCCCATCACTGAAGGTTTTGGTTCTCAGTCAATTCTACAACAAATGTAAAACCACGGGCTTCATGGTAGACTGAGAGAAGACAGGCACGTGATAAGAAAATCTTCTCAAACATCACTTGTTTATTTACTACTGAGTTACAGGCCACACCAGCCTGACTCCACCTTCAGAAACGGCTCTGTCACTCAGATGTTTTTTACCTACCCTCTTTCGATGCCATCTGTCTTGGCCAAGCTGGTATTCAACTCTTCCCTGATCTGGAATGGATCTGTAATACTTTTGGTTCAAAGAACACTTGATATGAGATGGGTGTGGTGGCACATGCCTGCAGTTCCAGCACTCAGGAGGCTGAAGCAGGAGTTCAAGTCTAGCCTGGGCTGCATAGTGAGTACAGGTCACAAACTCACTGTGAGATCTGGTCTCAAAACCTCCTCTCCTCAAAGACACTCCCCAGCAAAAACAGAAAACAAAACACAAAAGAATACTTCTGATAACCATGACTGTTCACATGTAGACCAAGTCATCTCAGGAAGCTTGTTACCGAGGAAGGTAGAAGCTGTAGGGGCTGGTAGGGAAGGGACTCTCACTTGCATGGGGCTTGGACTCTAAGGCCTCTTTGCGCTTTTCGAACCAAAGCATGTCTCTAAGACTTTAAGACCAGGAATAAAGCTCCCTACCGTGAGTTCTTGAAATTTTACAGTCTATCTCGGCAAACCTTCAAAAAAGTTTTCACTATTAAGAACAGTTTCTGACAGACTGAATTCCCTCTTTGGGAGAGTCAACATCTAAGTTTGTGGATTTTCAACTTTGCTACTGAGCAAAGAAAACACCCAAACTTAGATACTGTACAGGTCTAGAAGTTCATTCATTTTTCTACTTAGTGTCTCAGTTTCTTTCTTTCTTTCTTTTTTTTTTTCTCTTTTTTGAGACAGGCTGGTCTTAAGCTCACTTTGTAGCCCAGGCTGGTCTCGAATTTGCAGTGGTCCTCTGGCATCAGCCTCCCAAGTGTGAGGATTACAGGCGTGCGCCACCATGCTCAGCTAATATCTTACTTTCTATAAACTCAGTTTTTATAATCAACTGTTTTACTTGGAGACTTTATAATACCGTATATTGTGGCTGTCAAAACAGTTGTAAGTATTTAACAGAATGAGTACTTGACAGACATGTTTATTTATGAGGTGCTGGGTAATCAAACACAGGGTCTCCTGCAGGCTAAGAAAGCATTCTACCATAAGCCACATCTCCAGCATAGATACACTTGTTTAGAGGCACACATGCCAAAAAGTTTTCCAGTATTTCTGGTGAGTACAGGTTATATTCTGAATTATGCAGAGGCATATACAGAGAGATTTAGAAAAATAAAAGTCTTCTTTATCTTGTGATCAGAAAGTCACCTATCCCCAAACTGGCAACATTTATAAAGGATCTCTTCATCTATAAGTAGGCCAGATACTCCAAAACTATCAACAGGGTACTTCCTAATCACTTCCTCTGCTTCTAGTTAAACAAGTGCAAATGTAAGCAAATGTCCCTCTTTTGGGCATTTCTAGTAATAGAACATATTGTTTCTACTTCTTTATCCTAGTTTAGGGTTCAATGCACTGTTTCCAGGGAAGCCTGAGTCGTCAGCATTACCACCTGAAGTCCTGCAACAGGGTTACCACTGGTCCTGAGAAAGAAGTTCAAATGATTCCCTCTCCACAGCTGTTAGGGCTCAAAGAGCCAGATGCTCTTACTCAGAGCCTGATGATAGCAGGAGAAAATGTGAATATATTAATATACTCACAAGCTTAGATATTTAAGAAAAATATTCTGGATTTCTGGATAGCTCTGAATCAAAAAAGCACATTTCTACATCATCAAGAGAAGTAAGTGTCCTTCACTGTCATTTTCAAATCCAAACGCAACAAAATGACCCAGGGCTGGGTCTGCGGCTCAGTGGTAGAGCACAGGACTCAGCATCTGAGAGGGTCTGGGTTTCATTCCCAGGACCCCCCCACCTCCCAGAAAGTTATTATAAAACACATGAGATGCGGCCTCAGGATGGCATTAGGGATTTATAATTTATAAATTATAATTTATAATTAGGGTCTTACTTTTGTAGTCCAGGCTATCCTTGAACTCACAGGAATCCTCTTGCCTCAGCCTCCTGAGTGCTGGGATTATAGGTATGTCCCACTACACACACTTCTAAACCCCTATCCTTTATAGATTAAATGTCTTTGTTAGTTTTCTTTTTTAGAGATAAAGTTATAAAAAAGAAAGTGTGGGTATAGAGAGTGAACCCTTTTTCTAATAAGGAAAATAAGTGAACGCTTTTCCTACAAATTACTAGGGAGCAATGACCTCCAGGGTGCACCTACTAAAAAACACGGTCTGCCCTCCAAGCTCACGCCAGTAAGAATGACAGAGCAGGAGAATGTTAAACATCCAGTCAAGACATGACAGTAGTTCTGGATTAGAGCTCAGGGTCAGCCATATTTTATCAACTTTCTGTGCACCTTTTCAAAAAAAAAGTAAATATAGATGTGTGCAGTGGCACATGCCTATAACCCCAACTACTTGGGAGGCTGGGGAAGGAGACTTGAAAGTTCAAGGCCAATCTGGACACCTCAGCGAGATTCCGTCTCAAATTATAGGGGTGTCCAAACTGTGGCCCCCAGGTAAATAGGCCCAGTTTCCTTGGGTTGCATTGAGCGGAAAGGAATTATCTTGGGCCACATATAAAGAGTGATCAAAATATATAGTGAATGCTTAAAGTAAAAGATACATTTACTTCACAATGCCTTCTTGTTTTGAACACATTTATTTTATCTTCCTTGCTATTATCTGTAGTTGTAGAGGTCTCTTTCACGTCTTTATGAGGTATGTGAGTGCCACTGCCAGGTGCCATCCAATGGAAAGACAGGCTCATAAGAACGTGTGCCCTCGTCCCTTATTCACCAGACAGGGCACCATGCAACTTCTGGCTTCTCCTCAACGTTAAAATGACCACGAAAGGTCAAGACTTTGAACTGATTCAGGGTATGGAGCAGCCATGACAGTACAACAAAAGTGGATTTCTAGAACTGCTTCAGAAAATGGCAAAAATGATGGAATGTGTCTGAAGTAAGGGTGAGAATTTTGAGAGGGATTAATGAAAGTGTGCCTTTTACTATCATAAGGCTTTAAAAAATTTAAATATTTCACCATACTTTTTGAATCATACCTTGTAATATACATATAAGTAAGAAAATTTCTATTAAAAAATTTTGGTTTTGGTACTGGGAATCGAACTCAGGACCTTGCACTTGCCAGGCAGGTACTTGTGCTGATGATCTATATTTCCAGCCCCTAAAATTTTTTATTAAGTTGGGTGTAGTGATGCACACCTGTAATGTCAGTATCCAGGAGGCTGAGGCAGGAGGATCTCTGAGTTTTAGGCTGGCCTGGGCTACACAGTGAATTTAAGTCCAGCCTGAAGTACAAAGCAAGACCCCTGTCCCAAAAAACCAAAATCAAAAAGCAAAACAAAACCAACCAACCAACAAACAAAAAGCTGGATGTGGTGGTGCACACCTGTAATCCTAGCACTCAGGATGTTGAGGCAGGAAGATCACTGTGAGTTCAAGGCCAGCCTGAACTACACAGCAAGACTGCCTCAAAAAGCAAAAACAAATAAAATATTACTATGCCAAATCTGGGGCTGGGTAAAAAGGTAACAAATGTAATTACTCTGTCAGGAAAACCTTGCCTCAAGAAACAAAATAAATCCCTTTCTGTTATCACATAAGTGTTTCCAACTCAAAAGGGCTGAGGATTTAGCTCACTGCTCCCTGGGTTCAATGTCTAGCACCAAAAATACCTAGAATTGAGGTTTTAGTGTCAATTATCTATACTTCTAAGAGAATTTATTAAAAATTAGACTGTTAAAAAATTAAGACTATTTTCTTCCATACATGTAGATACAAACTGTTATAGTCTGTATTTACATGTTCCCCCAAATGCTCATGTGCTCAAGGGGGAGCTTTTCAGAGGTCACTGGATCTAGGGCAGTTGAGTGCTAACTATTTAGAGATTGAGTGCCCAAATTACAACCCAAAACACATTTACTTATTGCAAAGTGTCAACACTGCATTTAAACCTGAATACTAGCAGTGCGTGATGGCGCACGACTGTAATCCCAGACTACAATCACAGCACTCGGGAGGCTGAGGCAGGGGGATCGTTGTGAGTTCGAGACCAGCCTGGGCTGCAAAATGAGCTCAAGGCCAGCCTGAACTTCATAGCAAAACCCTGTCTCAAAAAGACTCAAACAAACAAACCTGATACTGAGGTTTTAGTTTAGAAAAAACAACTCATACATTAACAACTTTTGTCTTAAAATAAAAATGTGAGTGCCATAGGTTTGCCACCACTGATTTAGGGTGTATGAGTATCGATTAAGGATGTGTGATAACTAAATTAGCACACTAATTGGTTTATTACAGCTCTGGGTGTGGATAATGAGAAGGCCCATCCTGGGTATGGGTGGCACTAACCAATAGGCTTGTGGCCTGAATGGAATAAAAGGGAAAGGGAGCCTTGCTGCTGCTGCTGCTCTGCTGCTTTCTGCCTGCTATGCCACAAACTGATTCTCCTCTGCAATGCCCCTCTGCCATGCTGCCCTGCCTTGAAACCAGCCAACTATGGACTGAAACCTCTGTAAACTGTGAGCTAAAATAAATCTTTCCTCCTTTAACTTGGTGTTGGATATTTTGTCCCAGTAACAAGAAAAGTAACTGAGACACAAACTGGGCAGAAGAAAAAGGGAATTTGGATTTGACAGACGGGGAAAAGAGGGCCACATTTTTGAGACGATTCAGGCAAAAACTGAAGAAGCAGGAGCCCACCAGAATCACTGCCTGCTGCACTACTTTCCTCGAGCTCTGCAGGCTCTCAGGCCCCTTCAAGACCAGTGTTTCGAACTCAAAGAATCTAGCTTGGCAGTCTAGGAATACGGCTAGGCCACAGGAGGGGTGGCTTCTATGGGCCGCCTACAGAAAGGACATGGAGGTACTGTTTAGAACATAAATTCAATGGAAGTTATTTTCCCAAGTTTTAGATTCTGAGTCACAAAAATTCTTCTGGAAGATACTCCATTAGTGGGTTGAAGCCTGATAAATCTTGCCTATGTCAGTAAGTTCACTGAAAGTAATTCATTACAGACACGTGCTAGAATTTCCTACCAGAAGACTGCATACAGTATCATTTGTTACAGTGGAAATTTCAGTAGCCACTGCATATGGTAGTCAGGCTGTGCTCTGGATACAACTGACAGTCTTCGGAGCTAGGCAATTTGTTAGCCCTAATCTAGACTACAGTTATGGTTAAGTTATGAACTGTCCTTAGGATTAGATATAATGCAGTTATTATAGATACTATAAAGGAAAATTTAATGTCCTAAAAAATTGCTGTTGACAGTGAAAGTCAGATATACAGAATTACTTTATTTTTTTTTTTAAAACAATCATACCTATAAACTTAAGGTACATATACAGAAAGACTGTAATAGATATATGAAAACACTGACAGCAGCAAGATTATAGACAATTTGAGATTTCTTTAAGTTTTTATGCCCTCTTCAAATTTTTGGCAATAAAAAGAAAATCAGGAGGGAAGTGGGAAGTCATTCCATTTCTCATATCTCAGTAATTAAGTCTATAGAGTAATAAAAATACTTACTCAGCCATGAGTTTTGCTATGCGGTGACAGTCATTCTTGTCATAAAACCAGATACTGTATATTGACACTTGAAAAACAAAGGAAAAAAGAAAAGATGAAGGGAAATGAGGTTTCAACATTTATGTACAGTGGACCCTTGAGTTACGACTGATCTGACATATGCACAACTTGAGTTAGGTCTGCAATTTTAGTTTCAACTTAGGACCAACTTAGGGTCTTGAGTTATGACCCAAATACTGGCCACCTGTGCTTCCAGATTGTCTCAGATACAAACTGAACCCTTAAAGAGTCCTGAAAGGAACATTACAACATCCTTTCCTGTGTAGGGTTAATACAATCCTGGGCCAGTGTGTCTCTAAGGACACACTGAGATCTGCCTATATACAGAACAGACTTTGAAGGCTGTAGAGCAGCCTGAGCCTTCAAGTGACAATCTGAATTTCAACCAGTCCTTGGGAATGAACTGAGTGTGTAAGTCAAGGATTCACTGTCTATGTTAATAATATACCACCCCAAAATAGTATCTTTGAATTTACCATCAAACCCTTAAATTGTTAACAATCCCTTCAAAGGCAAAAAAAAAAAAAAAAAAAAGACTCTTCCTCAAAACCCTGTTTAATAAAATCAGGACAAATGAAATATTTAAATAAAAATTATAGAAAAATGGTTGGTTCTAGACATTTTTACCAGATCTCATTGAATCTAGCATGGCACTAAGTATAAGATGCACCATTATTTATGTATTGTCAAGAAAAAAAGACTATCAGTAAGACTATCTTAAAGTAAGATCTCATCAATGTTAATTAAATTATAAGACATATATTAAATTTATATTAAAATGTGAGGAATTTTAACTACTGAAAATCAAGATCAGCGCCTAATTAAAGGCCAGAAACGGTAAATCTCTTGAATCTTCAAATACAGAATAAAAGTTACATTACAATAAAAACAGGGTTTGTAGTCCCAGGACTCAGGCTGACAGGAGGATTGCCAAGTTGGAATCAGACTGGGCAGCTCAAATTTAGACAGACTGCTCCAAACAGAAACAATACAAACAAAAGAGAAAACAAGCCTGGGAATGCAGCTCGGAGGAAAGCCAGGTTCAATCCCCAGCGCTGCAAAAACAAAAAACAGAAAGAAAAGCAAACAGTTGAAAAGTGCTCCTTTTTCTATTTTTCGGAAGAAACTATAAAATTAAGATTAATTCTTCATTTGAATTCACCTGTAAAATCATCTGGACCTTCAGATTTCTTTTTCAGAAACTTTCATTAAGTTATAAATTCAATTTATTTAGTGTTTGTACCACTATTCATATTATTAATTATCTTGGTTGAGTTCTACAGTTTGTGCTTAAATTGTTCCATTCTTAAGTCATCAAATTTGTGGGTGTAAGGTTGTTCATAACAGGGCCTTATTATCTTTTTAACAGCTGCATGATTTAGCCAGGTGTGGTGGTACATGTCTGTAGTCCCAGCACTTGGGAGACCGAGGCAGGAGGATCACCTTGAGTTTAAAGCCAGCCTGGACTACATAGCAAGACCCTCCCCCGGCCCCCAAAAAGTCACAGGACTTGAAATAGCTCCTCTTCCATCCTTCATACTGGTAATCTGTATCTTATTCATTTTTGTTAGTCTTGCTAACAGTTCATCAACTTCACTGTCTTAAAAAGAAAAACAAACCTTTTGTTTCATTGAGTTTCTCTTCCCCTCTCTGGTACTGAGGATCAAACACAGTCTTCACACTAAGCTATATCCCCCGCCCTTTTAAAAAATTTTATATTTTAAGGTAGGGTTTCACTAAGTCACTATGTTGCCCAGGCTGGGTTCAAACTTGTGATCCTTCTGACCCAGTCTCCCATTGTGCTGGGATTGCAGGCATGTGCTATTATGCCTGGTTTTTTTTCTTTCAATTTTCTCTATTTTCAGTGTCTTTAATTTACAATTTTATTATTTCCCATCATCTGTCTGCTCTGAGGTAATTTTACTTTTCTTTTCCTAATTGCTTAAGGTGGGTAGTTAGTAGGTTCTCAGCCATCACTGCTTGGAGGGACTGGAGGTATTTCCTATGGCCAGGCTACTTGGTTCCTCTAGGATGCAGAAAGCCCTTGGACTACACAGCTGAAATTTGTTTTATCAGTGCTGGGCGTGGTGGCACACACATGGAATCCCAGCACTCAGGAGGCTGAGGCAGGAGGATCACTGTGGGTTTGAGGCCAGCCTGAACTGCATAGCAAAACCCTTTCTCAAAAAAAAAAAAAAAAAAAAAAAAAAGAAGAAAGAAAGAAAAAGAAATTTGTTTCCCAGACCAGGCTGGCTGCAATATGATCCCTTCTTTTGTTATTCCTGCACTGCCCACTTCATGGAAGGGAGGGAAAGCTGCTCCCTAGTGGCTACTGATTATCAGCAGTACTTCATGCCAGTCTGGCTTGGCTCACCTAGTACTGTTGGCAGGATCCCCCTCAATCTCAGTGAGGAATGAGCACACCTGGGCCACCTTGTGTTGCTAGGCTGCAGGTCAAGAAATACCAAGCCAAAGTTCTCTTCTTTGGTTGGGTAACTGGCTGCAAGACATCCTGCTGCCAGGTTATTTGACCAGTTGTAGATCCCGGGACATACTGCCTTCCTCTTTCTACCTTTCAGAATTCTCCTGATTATCTTTTGTATCATTTCTAGATTTTAGGGTTACATTTAGCAGAGAGATGGAGACAAAGGCAAATCAATTACACTTTGTTTCATCCTAAGTCTCATACGTTTTTGGGGGTAGTTTTGGGGGCTGAACCCAGGGCCTCATGCATGCTAGGCAAGTGCTCTACCACCAAGCCACATCCTCAACCCTTTTTATTTTGAGAGAGGATGTCATGTCATGAAGTTTCCTGGGCTGGCCTCAAACTTGTAATTTTTCTACCTCACCTTCCTGATTAACAGGGATTATATGCATGTGCCCCTATGCCTGGAGCCTCATCATGCATTTTTATGGTCAGAAAAAAAAGGCTAAAGGAGATTGATTTATTAATAAATCAGCAAAATAGTCTCAGGATCATAACAGAATGCAGATATCCTCATTCATAGACCAGTTGTCTTCCCACTACACACCACTTGCCTAAATCCCATTGGATTGAAGTAACATCAAATCTTTTCACAAACATAAGCAGTCAGTGAGCTTCTTACACTTGAAGACTAAAGCAACATATTAAAAAAGAATTAATTTAACAATCAAGTTAAATTGCACATTAAAAAGGCAGCATAGACTACAGGAAATCTAAATGCTAGTACAAAAAATAAAACTCACAAAGATTTTATCAATATATATTAGTTTATAACTTGGGAGGCTCAGGCAGAAGGGTTTGAATTTGAGGCAACCTCATGCAACTTTGCAAGACTCCGTTTCAAAAAGAAATGGCTTGGGATGTAGTTCAGCATTCTCTGGGTTCAGTCCTCACTACAAAAAAAAATCAATTTAGAAAACCACAGTTTGGTTATTTCAATGGCAAATCATGTTTTCTACATATGATGAAGTTTTAATGTGATCAGAGATTTCCCTACCAGGGAAGCCCCCCTGTCAAATCAGGGGGAGTTTTTTTTTCATCATCTTTATTCATTAAAATAAAGCCATTCACTGGCTCTGTGTATCAAGGTTTTAGTTCACTCTACAGTAACAGCAGAAAAACTCCAACTAAACTTTCACATTTATTGAGAATTTTTAAAGTTGTGATTGGTGAACTTTTTAGAGACAAGTGCCCAAACTACAACCTCAAACCCATTATTTATTGCAAAGTGCCAACACTGCAATTAAACCTGAATACCGAGGTCTTAGTTTAGAAAAAACAAGTCATATATTAACATCTTTGGTCTTAAAAACAAATTAACATGAGTGCCATAGGTTTGCCACCAGTGTTTTATACTGAACTAAGGTCATTAGCTCACAAAAGACTTCATAGGAAATCACAACTTAAAAAATTCTCAATAGATATATGTTTATTTGGACTTTTTCTACTGTTACTGCAGAGTTAACTGAAACACTGATACACAGAGCCAGGGAATGGCTTCATTTTAATGAATAGAGATGATGAAAAAAAATCCCCCTAATTTGATAAGGGGGCTTCTCTGGTAGGGAAAATCTCTGATCACATTAGAACAGTGCTAAGCCTGTGGAGCCCTCATCTGGCGATGGGTCTCACAGGTGCCCATACTACCTGAAGGAAGCCCAAATTGGTCAGACTCAGAGCTCTGGCCTATTGTGACTAGTTTCCTGTGTTTGGAATCTGTTTTCACGGTGCCTCTTCTGTTTACAGAATTTCAAAACAGTTCGAGTACTTCAAGCACAATCAAAATCCAACGAATAACAAGTAATTCTGGAATGTTTTTCATGATGAACAGCAACACATTAAGTCAGCTTTGACATCTCAATGGAAGAAGCACACAAGCAGCCTTGTTACAGAGGAGATAAATATTAAGCATTATCTACTTCCAAGTTTCAGTTATGCTCTTAGCAGCTAATGCTCGTTCCAACATACAGTAAATCAGATTGGGGCTTTGAAAAGACTCCATATATGGCAATTACATGCAGCCACCTTCTTTAAATACACCTCTTCCAATCTTGGCTAAGGAACACCCAAAGCACCAGAGTCCAAACAGAAAAGATTCTAGTTTTCCTCTAATACTATGTGTTTGTGTGTGTATATGTATATATATATATTTTCTTATGATTTATAATGATGAAAAATAATTTACTACATGTAATATATCAGGGTCAGGGAGGCACATAGAAGTAACTAAGTATATTTTTCCCAAAGGATTCTAAAATGCTTAGGAAAATCAAAATAAGTCCATCAGAATTGTCAACTTCTGATAAATTTTCACTCAAGTCCTCTCTTTTTCCTTCAAGAATTCCAACATAATTTAAAAATAAGATACATGCTTCTACACTTGTACATTATCAAATAAACTGCCAAAAAAGAGCCAAACACTTTCAAAGGCATGTTTGCAGAAGAAATAAAGATAAGGAAGCCATAGTGATAGCTTAATGGGTAAAGGATAAGAGTCACACTCAATTCTGCCAGAAGCAGAC